AATTTTATTTTTTGCAGTAAATAACTGATTAAGATCTTTTGTCTGTTATCTATGGGCTGTTTAATAGATAATTTATTTTATAAATAGACCTGACTTACCACCCCTAGAACTTGCGTGCCAGAGTGATTTCTTAAATTTAAGCAGTTGCCAGAAATCTGAGGCTAAGGCAGGGCATGTCTGAGGTTCCCTCTTGTCCTGTGACAGAGTCCAACCTATGACCCAACACCACCGTGTCAACCAGACCTTGGCACTCAGTGCCACATTCGGTCTTCCCTTAAATACCTGCAGGGGCGGTGGGTGGCACCTCCACGTTTCTGGGCAGTCCATTCTAATATCTAATCACATTTCTGTGAAGAATTGCTTTGTGACATTCAATCTAAACCTCATCTGGAACAGCTTTAGACTATGTCCTCTTGATCTGTTGCCAGTTGCGTGGTTGAAGATGCCAACCCCCACCTGGATACACCCTGCTTTCAGGGAGCTATAGAGAGTGATAAGGTGTCCTCTGGGCCTCCTTTTCTCCAGGCTGAATGCCCCCAGCTCCCAGCTGACTTTGGTAGGATTTGTGCTCCACACCCTTCCCCAGCTCTATTGCCCTTCTCTGTCACTGCTGAGAAGATCCTGGAAGCAAAGGAATGGTGAACACCTGCTTGCTGTTTCCTGACTCATGTAAAAATTAATTTACAAGTTCAGGCTAGAACTCTAGAATGATCCAGAAGGAGGAGGAAAGTAGCTCTTTTTCCTCCCTTTTCTTGTCCCTGCAGTTCAGGCTCAGCTAAGCAGCTGTATTGGTGTTCATCCTTGTGTTGTAGAATTAAACTCCTAGCATTTGGAAGAGAGGTCACTGTAACCTACGCTACTTGTGTAAACAATGCCTGAGTTGAGGACTGTTACCCTGCTGTTGCTGGGGAGCTGCTGCCTTGTTCTGACTGCTGACAGCGGATAGTGCTTAACACAAACATGAGATTTTCATTTTCTATACACGAGGAATCACAACTTTATGTGGACTATGCATCCAAATACAGGAAGTCTAGAGTGTATGGTCTAGATTCTACAAACAGAAGATAATATTTACTGTGTCTGTAGGACTTTGTGCCCCCAGATAATTTTTTTCCACCTGACCTTAAAACTTTATTTTTCTGACTATGGAAAACCCAGTAACCTCAGCTTAAGAATCAGCACCATTTTTTTTTTTCTTCTCCAGCTTTGGTCTTGTTATCCCATTTTATGGGTATCTTTACTGCTACGTGAGAAAAGTTGCTCTTTATGTCTTTAGCTGATTTAAATCCTCCCTGCAAAATCTATGATTCCCTCAAGTAACATTTAAGGTTTCACACACTCACTGGAGTGTGTGGCTATTTTCTGTGACTCAGATAGCTGAGCCAAAGGTCAGGCAGGTTTAGAAGCTCTTCGGTTTTGTGATGATTTTACAACTCTTGCCTAGTAAATCCATGAAAGTCTGGTTATGTCATCACAGTTGTACTAGGATTTGCAGCATCATTTGTTTTCAAAGAGGCACAAGGGATTATTGTTGCAGGTAATAAACAATAGTCATGTGTACCTGAAAATGTGTCTTCACTGTATTTCCACTCTTGTTTTGCTCTTCAGCTCATTGTTGTCAAGAGACTGCTGCTTACTAGGTTCAACATAGTCACTGACTATGTAGGGACAGCCTTAATGGATATAAACAATCCATTATCTATTTGAACAGACATATTTTAATAGTAGTTTGATAGCAGGCAGTAAAAACCTGCTTTTTCATTGGCTTTGTCATATTACCTTTTAGCCACATTCTTGTAGCCAAACCAAAACTTCACAGGGGTTATCCTTAGTGTTTGCCTGAAAAAAAATGCTTTAAACAGATTGAGTTTAAGTGTTTCATAAGAGTTCAAACCATTTCCATTTCCTCCCTTGTTCTTTGACTGATATTCATCTGATTTGTTCAAGGAGATAAAAAACCAACAAAAATAACAAGCTCTACAGAAAGAAAAGTGATTAGCTTTAGTTCCTTGAACTGATTCATTGCAGATTTATGGCAGTACTGGAAATGATGCTAAGAGAAGTAAAAATACCTGGAGTTTATTGGTCAGGACTGCTGAAAATAGTCAAAGAGCTCTCCTGTTATCTGACTTAACTGTTCAACATCACCAAAAAAGACCAGGAGAAAATTACCACCTACTACAAGATGGTAACTTTTTTTCTCATGGGTTATTTATTTAGTTCTCATTTGTTATTTATGAGTAGGCTGAAGCTTATTCTAACAATCACTAATAATCAGTAGGGAGAAGTTTCTTTTGAAGGTGGATGTGCATTAGATGTGCTGACCCCCTGCTGTTTTAGAGCTGGAGTAATTCTGCATGTTGAAATCCTGTGCTCTGTTTTAGTTTATAACTCATAACATGCTTTAGGTGTTTTCCTCTGTTCTAATCCAAATAAGGAAAAAGTTAATATTATATTGAGTTTTATGAGAATAGCTTCAGACTGGTATAACTAGAATGATTACCTCTCCTTTGCTCAAAATATCTGATCTCTTTCATAACTAATAATCTCAATCCTGTTCTGCTGCCAGAATGAAATTAGCACCTATATTATTTAATCAGCTTCTTGAATGTGAAGCAGTCAGTGTCCAATGACTGATGACTGGCAGCTCATTAAGTACCCTATTAGCTGCCTCATGGGAAAAATTAAAAGAGATTAAATCAACAAATTAAGGACTTTGTTGCTATTTATTAATTTCTTTATTTCAACTACATAATTTTAATGAGTTAGGTACTTTTCTATGCAGTTCACATCCTCCTACTGTTGGCACTAGAGTAGGTTAAGCTGCAGCAAGAAACAGTTTAGTAAATCAGTGTTATGGTAAGAACAGTTTCATCAGGTTTGATAAATCACTGGTGGATTAAAAACTGCCTGTGGTCTCCTCGGTTCTGCTGCTTTCCCACTGAGAAGCCTGCCATATTTATCTTGGTGGGAGGCTCTTTCCAAGCACCCCGGGAGCCAGGCTCAGGCTGCTGATCTGGCAGCGCAGTCCTGCTCAGCTGCAGAGCAGCGTAAGGGTTAGTCCTGGCTTTGGTAGGGGGCCCAAAGCTCACGTGAACATTTCCCAGTGTCTGGGACAAAACCACAGAGCGGGGCAGCAGCCACCGGCCTGCCAAGCGCTGTGTTCTGCGTGGGGCGGATGACGCGCGCGCCCCTCTGCGCCTTTTGTTTCCCTGTTGCCTTAGTCCCCAGCTGTACTGAAGGGATTCGCCTCAAGAAGTTGGTCATGGTTTTGTTTTGTTTCTTTTTCTTTAGAGACTCTGCTAATGCAAACATTCTGGGGCGTTTTACAAAGCAGATATCTTACCCTGTAATGCATCAACTGAAATCAAGTGGCATGACTTGCACTGAAGCTCTTCTCCATGTTGCCTAAAACAGAAGGCCAGAGTTAAAAATACATAGACTGTGTTTCTCTGTGTTAATTTTGCAGTCAAGCAGAGGATGTATTTGTGTAGCTAGTTGAAGAGTGCCACAGGCAAGGTACATGACACTGTAAACCACCATGCCAGCAAAAAATGAAGATTGCAGGTGCAGGGAAAGTGCAGTTTGTTCAGAAATCCAGTCAAAGCTGAACACAGAGATCCCCTGGAGAGATTCGGAAATACTACTGATTTACAAGTATGCTTTCTGCTAGAAAGCTATTAACTTACATAATCTTAAATCTCTCAAGGTTAAAAATAGCCTGACACTTTTACAACTGACCAGAATTCAGAAATAAATTTTATGAGAAGAATGTATGTTTAAACAACTGCACTGTTCTTTGAAAAATTATATATCACAGTGAATCTTGTAGGCTAGCTCTGAGGGCTGATCTTGTTCTAGTTACAGAGAAAAATAAAATGAAAAATCATTCTATCCTGAAGATTTTTAGGTGTTCTTAGAATTTCCCACTGGATATTTTCATAAGAAATAACTGGTTTTCTTCTTAATTTAACTATATTTAAGACTTTTTAAGTAGAAAAAATAGCTTTTCACAAACTTTTAAGAGGGCTCAGTACTAGAAAAATTTCATCTTGTCCATGTTCTTGTGTGGTTTCAAATACACATTGTTGTTTCTGTCTTGCATTTGCTAATCCTCTCAGTTCCCACGAAAATTGGACATGATCTAGCAGGCAGAAGCATTAGATGTAGGTGTAATTTTTTTGAGTTCAGTGTAAGAACACAGACAAGCCAGCTCTTATTTGGCAGAATCAGGCTTTGCTGGATCAGAATAAGTTACAGGAACTAATGCAGAATAGCTGAAATTTAGAATACATCAGTCGTTTCTTAATTTGATTTGTTAAACCATAAGAAATCCAAATTGAAAAAGAATACTAAAGCTCTTCTTAAGATATAGGGACCACTTTGAATCTCAAAGCATGATCTGTTTGTAGCAGTTCTTGAAGTTTTGAGTTACATTAATAATGTTAATTTCAGAAAATCACACATTAAATCTCCAGAGACTACAGGGTTTCTTAGAGGTGTTCTCAAAAGATCTCTGAAGGGAGCAATATTGACTGCATTTGCTTCTGCCTGGTTAAATCTTGAAGATGAAAGAGAAAACAAAAACACATGGAGTTAATGAGCCAGCAATTATCATGAAGGTATATGAAGATGGGAAGGATGTAATCATGTGTGGTAGTTTGGGTCACACCGTGGCTTAGAGCTCTTTGTAGAGGACATAAAGCCTGGTTAGGTACAAACCAGTAGGTAGCAAGTGGTGAGTAATGAAAGCAGTGTTGACAGAGAGGAGACTATGGCTGACTCAGAAGTGCTGAGACAAGGAGCAGCTTCCAGGCTAGGAACACCCTTTCAGTGCTGAGCATGATTCTCCCCCCAGATGAGTTATCAGGGATGAGCATGATTCTCCCCTGAGATGAGTTATCAGGGATGACGACAAGGACTGTCTGGTAGGCATCCATAGGGAGAAGTAGGACATGGGCTGACAAGTGACATGACATATTCTTTGTGCCCACTGACAGGGGGAAAGCCGCGACTCTGCACTTCAGCCAGGAGATTTGGAGTCAAGGAAGGTTTCTGAAATCACTGGAGACTGCCTGAGAACAGACCGTGGTAAAATCAGTTACTTCTGCCCTTTCTCTGGATGAAACTGATTATCTTGAGTTACTTTATTAAGTGCATGAAATGTGTTAGCCTCAAATGTGAAAATGGTACTGCATGTTCTGATTTTTTCCTTCTGTCCTTGAACTCTGTGGCTGCCAATAACTTGGGATTTGCTCACATAATAAGAACTAGAGTATGTGGAGTTGTTGGATAAAGCCCTACTGTGAGTAGCCCATCAGAAGCTTAAGCTGTGGGCAAACTACTATTGACATAAAATTCATATTAGCCCAGAGTTACAAAATATTTCTGTATCATGCTATTACCAAATATTTATATAATCTTAGAACTGTGTTTTAAATGCAGCATTATCCCATGAAAATTAATTTCCAGTGTGTAAAGTTAAGCTGTAAGGCAGGTACATTATTTAAGTATTGGAATAGACAACCTAGACAGTAGTAGGTGTCCACTCTGTTTTGTGTTTTATGAAAAGAAATACAGAGTTGAAAGGAAATAATTAAGTGGAAACTTTTGCAAAAGCACTTCAGATTTTGTTAAAAAGCAGATATAGGATCAAGTCCACTTAAAAATTATTTGTAACTAAATTTTATTCAATATAGCAAAACTCCCTGTGGCTTTGAACTGGCTGTATTATTTTGTTATTTTATTGTTTGGTTTTTTTTCTTTCGCATAAGCACACTACTAAATCTATTGTGTAGGCAATTTCTTTTTAAGTATTTTCCTCGCGATTAGGTAATTAAATTAAACAAGCAAAGCCTGAAAGGACATCTGAACACTTTGTATTTCTTTATTAAGTAGTATCACCAGCCAAGAAGCTATTTTTTTACAATAATCTGTTCTCAAAAAAGCAGTGTGTTTTTGCTTGGCATTTTCATTTTCATGTAAATGTGTAAAATTTTGTGCTTTTTGTGAGAATTTTGTTCCTTGAATGGAAGAAACAAACCTGAGTATATAACTTGAAACTACGCGTGAAAAATCAGTTATTTCAGGTTTTTTAAAAATCACCAAACATTTGCTTCTAAAATTGAAGAAGATTTTATGACCGAGCGGAAATGATGAATTGATAAACATCTGGGCTAAAGCCAGCTTTTGTAAGACAATGCCAGATCTGAGTGTTTTAGCCACAGTGACAGAAATCCAGGCTGCTAATACAAAATATATTGCCTACAGATCTTAGGACGGTGACGCAAGCTGCTAACACACAGCAACACACTGAGTTGGGTTTCAACATTGTTTTTCATTTCATAAACTCATGCAGATTTCAGTAGATGTTTACATTTTCTCCGACATTGGTTTGCACAGTTATAAATCAGTTGGAGTTTGTGGTTTCCAAGGTTTTTGCAAAGAGTTCTTTCCACAGATGATTTGGTGAGCTCCCAAGTAGTCTGCTAGTGTTGGATGTCTGCTAATGGGAAATCTCCATCACATAATTGTGTGGAAGTGATATAAAGAAACAGGGCATGTAATGATAAAATCTGTTCTCAGATATTACAAAATCACTCAAGAATGTTGTGTATATAAAATCTATATTGAAGGAGATGTTGGAAGAAATTTATGCAGATAGCTTTTTACTGGCTAGAGTAATTTAGAATGTATGGGGAACTTCAAAACAGCTCTGAGCAGAATGAAATGTTGAAGCCATTAGAGTTGGGCTGACTGATACCTGTCTATGTACAAGTGCAGTAAATCTTATCCAACTTCAGTAAAACACCTTTTCTATACAGGTAGGAACCTACAGGATTGAGAAGTGGGATTTAGAAAATAATTTATAGGACTGTACCTCAGTACATACTAACACTAGCAGTGAAAGGAAAGCTCTTGTGTAGAGAGGGTTGGCTCTGAAATTCCACAGCATGAGTGTTGGATCTGAATCTTTACTACTTGTTTAAATCAATGACTGAGATTGGACTAATAACAAAAATTACTGTTTCAGCCAGCAGCTCATTAGTTGGAAACACAGACAAATTACTTTGACAAATACAAGTCTAGGAGTGTTGGCCTGCTGTAGCTGAACTACTTCTAGTGGAATTAGAGGAGTGTTAATGATGTTATTCAAAGTTCTAGTGAAGATGTCAAAGTAATTTGTGAAGTTCTACTCCTCTCATTCAAGGAACATGGATTAAAATTCGATGAGGTACAAAGAAAGCTCCTATTCTTACTATTCTAGTAGCTTACAAGGAGATATCACAAAAATAATCTTTCTAGCCTAGCAAAAAAATACAAGAAGTAATAAGGTCATAGCATGGTCGGTGTGGGAAAGGACCTTTTAAGATCCCCAAGCTCCACCCCTCTGTACCATGGCAGGGAAATCAAAGCCCCATCTATCTAATTGTCTAATTGTCTGCCATCTGTGAAGGGCCTATTCTATCTCTCAATAACATGTTGTAGAGTGCAGAAATAATGCCAGGTGGAGGGTGTAACATTAAGGACAGAAAAGATATTAAAATGTAATACTCTGTCCTGGACCATAAATAAGCAGATGTAAAACAGAGAATAAACTTTAACAGGGAATTGGAAGATTATTCTTTTCCCTTAAAGCAGTTAAAGATCAGATCAGTTTCCAATAACAACACAGTCAGAGCCAAAGAGGTTGCTACTTTAAAAATAATCTTGAGTAGCTAATTAAGAGGCTTATGCAGTATGATTATTCATAATAGCAGGTGATTTGGCTGATTTGGTTTTGTCCAGCAACTGCTCCCAATTGTTGTCTCTGTGAGGGTGGATCTATAGAGTATTCTGTGGATGACAAATCTCAGACATTACAGATATACTTCAATTCAAAAATTATTTTTTTAAAGACTGAACTGTGATGCCAGTGTCAGCTCTTTGGAATTGTGTGGTTCAGCTATTATTTTGGTGGCTTTTCACATACTTTCATTGCAGGTCTAGGCAGAGCTGATTTTTGTATGCAGGAGTATTAGGTTTTCTCACTTCAGAGCCTTTGACGTATCAGGGAAGAATATGAAAGGCTGAACTATGGCTTTGTGAAGACAAGGTGCTGGCTGTTGTGGGAAGAAAATACTTTGTAGCAGCTGGGGAGGTTGCGATGCCCTCAAGCATTGCCTACTGCTACAGTGGCTGGGCAGCACCTGCAGGACAGGTCTGGCCAGTGTTCCTGATGCTTTCTTGACTGCATTTACCAACGTGTGCAAGTGAGGGGGAGCTCCTTGGGATAAAAACAGAGGAAAGGGGAAAGGCACAGGGGTATAGTCACACCATTCAAATGCCTCTTCTTAGTTAGTCACTGTCACCCATGTTAGTGATAACTAACTGAGTTTCTCAAGCACTGTTTTGTTGACCTCTTGCTCAGGTCAGTACAGGTTATCACACTGATAAGTGGGGAAATTGTCTTGAATTTGCACTTTCCTTTCTGTGCACTGTTGTTTTTCTGCCATGTGTTCACCCCTGCTAAATGTTTTTGGAGCTTTACTTAGAGAATGTGCCTGTCTAGCTCCCAAAATAAATAGAGGGTTATGAAGAAGAAATGGTATATATGTTTCTATAGCCCAGATCTGTACAATGGAGATAGGCTTCTCACATCATTCTCTTAGTTTCTTACCCCATTTTTTTTAAAATCAGGTATCCAGTAACATTCCCGACCATGTCCAAAACTCTGGAAATTTGCCATGTGCACTTAAGGGGAAGTAGTGATTACATAAACACTTCTGGGGTTTATACACTTCCCACAGAACTCTTGGATCCCTTGTGTAATAGTCTTTTCCAATAAAGAAAACTGTATAGGCATTAATCGTCCAACACAGCAATACCCTATAGTTTAGTGGGACAGGCAGCTGGCTTCTGCAGAGTGCCTTTTGACATTTTCTGGCATTGGCAAGTTCAGGAAGGGTTGGGCTGGGGGACTTTCCGCACAGCAGCCTTCAGAGTGCTGTGCTATGTGTCAGTAGCTAGAAAGGTGCTCTAACACAGCAGTGTTACCTCGGTGTTACCAAGCCCACCACATAACATCGAGGCTGTGCCTCCAACATTCCCCCTCCATGGGCCAGTACTCTGGCCAAGAGACTGGGAGGGGACCAGACATTACAGCTGAACCAAGCTTAACAAGGAAATATTCTATACCATGTTGTCTGCTTAGAAATAAAACTAAGGCAAAGGAGAAGAGGACAGAACAATAATTATTGGGACATTTATCTTCCTGAGTAACCTCTATGCATAGTGAGGACCTGCTTCCTAGAATGTAGCTGGACATAACCTTCTGATGGGAAGTAGAGAATTATCTGTTTGTTTTCCCTTGCTTCTCTGTGTAGACTTTCCTTTTGCTTTACTAAACTACCAAAGCTAGTGGCATATTTAAGTAGGCAGTCTGGTGAGAACTAATATGTTTATGTATTCGATTCAAGAAGCTGAGCTACCTTTTCTGTACTCTCTGCTGTCTCCATTCATAAACCCTCAGAGAAATGCATGGTTTGAATTTAGGGTGATCAGGCATGTAACTGGCAGGGTTTGACACTGTGACTGAGTGCAGCTAGCAAATGCTTCTGTAAAAGGGGAGGTCCTGTTCGCCCACTCCTCCCCCCACTTCTTTCTTCCTGCCTGCCTCTGAGCACTACCACTTTTACACCATCTTTGGTGTACCCCTTTGGAAGCTGATTTAACTTCCTAAAGTCAGCCTGAAGGCCTTCGTCAGTGTGGATCTCAGCTGGCACATGGAGAAGTGGGAGCTCATATCCAGGAGCAGGGCTTGTGAGGGAAGTGAAACTCCCACTTCATTGATCCACTCTTCCACATTGTTGAGCTGTAGTCTCAAACACAAAATATGCTGCCCAACAAGGAACTAGATGGAGACAAAAGCTTGTTGTGGTGTCAGAGATATGTATGTTCATAATTTGTGTCAGGACACAGCCCACAGTGCCCAAATAAGCCTAGTGACAGTAGCAGGTTCAGCCATGAATCCATAGACAATGGGGCATGTCAGGGATCAAGCCAAGAGCTCAGGCTGAAGGGTCAGGGTCCAGATTAGTGAGGCACCTGGC